GTTTTTGCTGCAGAGTGCGCCGTGCGCAACTTTTCAGAACTTTGCCAGGCACTGGAAACGGATCGCCATATCGGCGACCAGAGGCAGGCTTGTTGGCATCAACAGATGTGCTGCAATCTCTCAGCGTGTAGTTGAGCTTGAGACAAGTTGGCTGGAGATGTTGCAGGCTCATGATATGGCCTTGCTCATCTATACTTCTGGCACGACAGGTGCTCCAAAGGCGGAATTGCATTCATTTGACTGCAATGGAGTTAAATCGAGTCATATATATATATTATATAGATATATAAATATAATATGTATAAATAGTATATAGAGATGAGAGGCTTTTGGTCCCCGAAATGTGCCCTTTTGGTGCTTCGTCCATTGTGTGACTTGGAGACGCAGCACCACCTGCAGGGCATCGTGTATGATCATTCCCACCTCATGCATGGTGTTCACTTCTTCGGAGAGCAGTGCCAGTTGGCCGCATGGTGTGCACTCACTTGTCCCTCTATTTTTTGGGGAAAGTTTGGAAAGGTTGTGTTCTTTTTTTCCTCCAAATAGTGTGGACACACGGGTCACGGGTGAGGTTAATCGAGGGTGATCACTGGCGTGCGCGGCCAATTCCATCCTATTTACGCCTCCTGAGAGTTTTGAAGTGCATTTAGACTGCGCAGGATAAACTGGTGGGAGCGAGCGGGTGCTTTCCTCGGCTCAACTGTGCACTCGTTATGGCGCCGTGCGCATTTTGGAACTTGGTGGTCACTGGTTCGTGGCAAGCGCAGTGCTTTTGACTTGGTGGTGGTAATTGGCCTGCAAGCCAGCTGCATGCCATTCAATGGGCGGCGGGACAGGGTGAGGCGTTCCGTCGCCGGTCATTGGCGGCTGTCATCAAACTGCAATCTTTGCGCAGGAAGGCCCGAAGGTCAACCGCCGCCTGTTCTTCTGAGGGGCGGCAGGTGCTGCGGCGACCAGAGCAAGAAAAGTTGTTGTTTCCGGTCTTGCGACAGTTGTTGGCCACTGTTGCTTCAGATGAAGAATCACCCCTCTCCTCGGGAAGGTCTCCAGAAAGAGGTGCCGGACGCAGGCGCAATGCTAGCTTGAGTTCGGAATGGTAGGCAGTCTCTCGAACTAGACGACGAGTGGCCCGAAAGCATTTTTCACCACGTGTGAAGTTAGAATGTGAGTTGTGTGTTAAGTGTTAAGTGTGAAGTGTTAAGTCTAGTGTGTTGAGTAAGTGTGTGGGTCTCTGTGTGTGTCTATGTGTGTATCTATGTCTCTATGTGTACAGAGGTGAGGGGGTGTAGACGTCGATGTGCAGATGAAGCGGCAGCGCAACTGGGTGCATTTCTCACTGTGTCAGCGCAACGCTGAAGAGGTCCGCCGCATACTAGAAGCAAACATATCGCGTAATACCACCAATCATCCCTCTCACCAGCGACACGCCGTCTTGTAGGACACCCTTGTGGGTCACTCTTGTAGGAAGCTCTTAGGTCTTGCGGGGCACTCTTTTGGGACACTCTTGATACCACAATGATCCCGCTCACCAGCGACACGCCGCGTTTACGCCAGCATGTTTCGCGCTCCCCAGTGGCACGGCGCCACGCAAACGCACTTCCCACCAAGGCCGCGCAAATCCCCATGGCGCTGCGACATCGTGAACGTACTTTGGCCACACGGTCTGTCCACACACTAGAAGCACACATATCACATGCGACAGCCAATCACCCCGCTCACCAGCGACACGCCGCGTTTACGCCAGCATGTTTCGGGCTCCCCAGTGGCACGGCGCCGCGCAAACGCACTTCCCACCAAGGCCGCGCAAATCCCAATGGCGCTGCGACATCACGAACGTACTTTGGCCACACGGTCTGTCCACACACTAGAAGCAAACATATCACATGATACCACCAATGATCCCGCTCACCAGCGACACGCCGCGTTTACGCCATCATGTTTCGCGCTCCCCAAAGGCACGGCGCCGCGCAAACACACTTCCCACCAAACCAAGGCCGCGCAAATCCCAATGGCGCTGCGACGTCGCGAACGTACTTTGGCCACACGGTCCGCCACGCACGAGAAGCAAACATATCACATGATACTGCTAATCGTCGCGCTCACCAGCGACACGCCGCGTTTACACCAGCATGTTTCGCGCTCCCCAGTGGCACGGCGCCACGCAAACGCACTTCCCACCAAGGCCGCGCAAATCCCAATGGCGCTGCGGCATCGCGAACGTACTTTGGCCGCACGGTCTGTCCACACACTAGAAGGCACAGCGACATCACGGACGTAATTTCGCCACACCGTCTGCCACTTCTGACTCCAGCCCTGAAGGGCTCTTTGCCGCGCTACTTTTGTACTACAAACTGGCCACTTCTGAGTCCAGCTCCAAAAAGCTCTTTTCCGTACTACATTTGTACTGCAAAGTGGCCACTTCTCACTCCAGCTCTGAAATGCTTTCCCGTACTACTTTTGTACTACAAACTGGCCACTTCTGAGTCCAGCTCCAAAACGCTCTTTCCCTTCCTACATTTGTACTACAAACTGGCCACTTCTGACTCCAGCTCCGAAAAGTTCTTTCCCGCACTACATTTGTACTACAAACTGGCCACTTCTCAGTCCAGCTCCGAAAAGCTTCTTCCCGCCCTACATTTGCACTACGAACTGGCCAGGTCTGAGTCCAGCTCCACAAGTGCAGTGCCAAGTCTCCAAAACGAGCGTTTCGTACGAGACTTCCTCCAAAAGTGAAGCG